GCAGCAACAGCAGCCGCAACAGATGCAGTAGCAAAATATGCAGCAGCAAAGGCAGCAACCCAACAACAGTAGCAGCAGCAACACCACCAGCAGCAGCAGCAACAACAGCACCAGCAGCATCACCAGCAGCAACCACCAATCCCAACAGCAGCAGCAGCAGCAGCAACTGCAGCAGCACCAGCAGCAGCAGCAGCACGAACAGCAGCAGCAGCAGCAGCAGCAGCAGCAGCAACAAACCTAAGGATGTAATCCCTGTGGCTAGCAGCCGCTCCTCTGTGTAGTACGTCAGCAGTCTGCGGTGCAGCAGCAGCAGCAGCAGGTTTGCTGCTTCATCAACAGCAACAGCAGCAGCAACGCATCCTATCAGGCCCAGGCCGCGGCCGCTGCTGCTGCTGCTGCTGCTGCTGCCTGCAGCTCCTGCGCTGCTGCTGCCATCAAGGAAACGCACAGAGCAGAGGTGGCTGCGCTGCTTCCGCTGCTGCTGTCGCTGCTGCCGCTGCTGCTGCTGCTGTTGCTGCTGCTGCTGCTGTGCTGCAGCGTCGCTGCCAGGGGCAGCAGCAGATGGAGATCCCGGGCGCGCGAGACACAGCAACTGAACAGAAAACTGTCCCTCCTGCTGCTGCTGCTGCTGCTGCTGCTGCTGCTGTTGCTGCTGCTGCTGCTGCTGCTGCTGCTGCGGTGTAGAAGCAGCTGGGGGGTTGACGCTAACCCAGGCGACGCAGCCGCTCTTGTAGCTGACGAGGAGGAGAATGCTGCCTCCCCCGCTGCTGCTGCTGCTGCTGCTGCTGCTGCTACTGCTGCTACTGCTGCTGCTGCTGCTGCTGCTGCATGCGATAGCAGCAACAGCACCTGCTGCGTCTGTTGGGGCTGGAAAGGCACAGGCAGCTGTAAGTCTGCCGGAGAGAGCGCTGCGACCAGCAGCAAACTGCATGCGCACAGCAGCAGCAGCAGCAGCAAGCCCTTTGCTGCTCTCCCCCCCACCCCCAGCAGCAGCAGCAGCAGCAGCAACTTGCTGCTGCTGCTGCTGCTGCTGCTGCTGCTGCACCTCTAGCCTAGATAAAACACAAACACCCCGAGAGGTCCCCACAGCAACAAAATTGCTGCAGCGGCAAAACGCGGTAACAACGCCAGCAGACTGAGCCACCTGCTGCAGCGCAACAAACCTGCAGCAGCAGCAGCAGCAGCAGCAGCAGCAGCAGCAG